TGGAGCCGAGCAGCGGCTGACACAGCGCGAGAGTAGCTAGTATGAAATATAAAAGAAATCTGTGGCACCAACAGAATTTGCGAGCTAAACCACACATCATCACCACATCATTACTGAGCACATGTGTCTTTACACACGGAGAAGGTTTGAGTATTAATCATTACGCTTGCTCACGGCGGATTGGCGATTTCAAACTTATAATAAGTAATTAAAGTTTACGTGTGGGAGACACGGCACGAATGGTTAGGCTCAACCGGAGTGATACCAAGGCCTCACAGAAAACCGGCGTGAAACAACCACAGCGTTGTGTCTCGCCGTGTGAGTGAGGTTACCAGAGGCCCAAATGCTTCCCCTTCTCCAATCCCTCGTAATACCCAAAATTTCCAAATCACTAATCCCCAAAACGCACTCGTTACTCCTTCGTCGTTGCGTGTGTTCATGGGCGGCGCTGATTGCTTACCATCAGGTAATAATCCGTTCGACATATAACATAAAAAAAAAACCTCACGATGTTTTCCTTCACCGTATGTAAGTGGTGTCTAAATAATCATAGAAAGTACATATAAGAGGGAAAAAGTCACATTGGTACCTACCAAGTTTCAAATCCACAGCGACATTGGCGAAGCCGCATACGGAGAATTACTTAAAAATAAACTCTATTAAGTTTATAAACTTCTCACGTACCTAAATATCTGCAACCTTCTGTATATTTTTCAAGTCAAAACATGTGTTACGTTATAAAAAAAACAATATGGCGATGACATTTGAACAGCTGTTTTTCATCCGCCATCTTGCTGTTCTGTTTGTTTTGTTTCAAAAATATTATTATTGAATGGATACCGTATGCGGATCGGTTTAAAATTTTAAAAATAACGTAATATTTTATAGTTAGATAAATTATTAATGTAATTCACTTTGTATACATCTATACTAATATTATAAAGAGGTAAAATTTGTAAGTTTGTATGTTTTGTAAGTTTGTATGTAGGGGATAATCTTTGGAACAGCTGGTCGGATTGCCAAAATTCTTTCAATGATACATAGCTACAATGTTCCTGAGTGCTATAGGCTATAAAACATCACGCTTTGATTAAATGGAGCCGAGTAGCGGGTGAAACTGCGCGAGAGTAGCTAGTATATGTATAACAATTTTGTGTCACGTGTTTGTCCGCGATGTACTCCTGAACTACTAAACCGATTTAAATTTGATTTGCATTCCGTATACATTTTGATCCGACTTGAAAGATAGGATAGCTTACATCTCAATTTATAGTCACAATATTATTTACCTTAGCCACAGCAACGTGTGGCTGGGTCTGCTAGTTTTTATAAGTATATATATTTTTTAATGTAACTTGAGATTGTAATTGTAAATGCTTCATGGAGTGGCAAATAAATATGTTTTCTTTATTTCTTTCTTTCTTATTCAGTACAATATATAATACAGTGGCTATTGTTACATTTGATTTTATTGTTTTTAATGATTACATATCTTTTGTAACCTCTAGTCGGCTTAGTATTCAAACAATAGATACTGTCTCTGTATTTTATCAAACAATCTTTATTTTGGAGCACTCATCTTACTAGGTTTAATATTACAAAAGCGAAAGTTACGATGTTTGCATGTTTGTTACACAATTACGCCAAAACGGCTGGACGGATCTGGATGACATTTGGCATAGATATTTTCTGGAATTGGACATAGGCTAACTTTTTATCCACATACCAAATAACTTTGCACACTGTTCGCTAGCCTGAGTCTTCTTTTTTATAGAGGAAAGTCATCAAAAGACCTCTCTCGGGTCAGAGGGAGTGTCAGACTCTTACTGACTAAAAACCACCCCGCACCTTTTTCTCCCTCCGAGCCGGGCTGCGCTATATACCCGAGCGTACGGCGCGTAGCGCTCCGCACCTCAAAGACCCAATAGACCACCACAGACAGTGCCCTATAGGGCTGATGTTCAGCCGGGGTTGCGGGGTAAGCGCAATGAGGCACGGTGGCCTTGGCTCAGAGCAAGATAAGGAACGGGGGGGTTTTTAGTCAGTAAGAGACTGACACTCTCTCTCTCGCCTTACCCTGAGCGGGAGAAGTCATTTGATGATTTTCCCCTCACAAAAAAAAAACTCGAATATAATATGTCCTTAATCTAAAACTCTAACGAATTGGTGACACCAACAGTAATTAAAACAAACAGTATGTTATACTTTAAAAGAACCACATATTTCTGCAACACGCACAAAAAGAGACATAATAACCAGTAAACCTTGGTCCCGCTATGAGTAATCTTTTCGCGTATACAATGGTCAGTTTGAACTGGTTAGCACGGATCGTTGTATTTTCCAAGGATGATACTCAAGAAATTATCTGAAGTGCTGATATGTACTACTTGATACACTGTTATCAAGATTTCAGATCTGAAGTGAAAATCAAATATGATATAGCTGTAAGTACGACCTACATACTTGAGTGGAAAATCATTGCCATTATTTTAAAGAAACGGTTTTGCTTGGTGTCTTTCTGAGGGTTCGGATTCGAAACGAGGTGATCCGACAGAGAACTATAGTTGTCAACATAGCCCAAAGGATTAGCAAAGTGAAGTAGCAGTGGGTTTACAGTTATCGAAGAACCGACCGATTTATGGAGACCACGTCTAGGCAAACGTAGTGTAGGGCGCCTTCCAGCTAGGTGGATTGACGATATCCGGAGGCGGTGGTTGGGTGAGATGAGATGAATGATGATAATGAAATGAGATTAATTGGTTTCTTTCTCGTTCTTCTCCATTCGAATCTACAATTTAAAACGAGCACCTAGCTTCACTGACGATCAGACTGACAGACTACTATTCTATTTTGTCGTTTCAAAAGTACCTATTTATGGTTTCGTTGGAATTAATGATTTTGACTTTAACTTTGAAGATCTGAACATCGAACTCAGTGACGAGCAACTGGAGAGGCATCGGGCTGATGACGCTGATGATGATGATGATGATGACGACGAAAATCAAAGCAACAACAAACAATTATTCATAGCATACCTTAAGAATCACGCTATCTATTCCTGAGAACCGAACAAAAATGTGTCCGGCAGTTTTTGAGTTTATTGCGTTCATAATAATAGACTGTCGTGTCAGGGTACTTCTTTTTGTAATACATCTGAAGGTTGCAGATATAACGAATGGAATATCCAGTAGTAAAGGGGGGGAGGGGTGGTTAATATGACAATTAGTGTTTTCTAAGACATAAAAAATAATCTATCTTGGTGACAAATTAAGGCCGCTGTAACTGTACTATTGAAACCTCAAGTGTGGGAGAGCCATGCTTCAGCACGAATGGGTCGGCTCGACCGGAGTGATACCACGGCCTCACAGAAAACCGGCGTGAAACAACCACAGCGTTGTGTTTCGCTGTGTGAGTGAGGTTACCGGAGGCCCAATCCTTCCCCTTCCTGGAACCTTCCCCAATCCCTAATCCCTAAAAGGTCGTCAACGCACTCGTAACTCCTCCGTTGCGGGTGTCCATGGGCGGCGTTGATTCCTTACCATCAGGTAATCCGTCTGCTCGTTTGCCGACTTATTACATTAAAAAAAAAAGCCTCAAAATAGAATATAGTAGTCTGTCAGTCTGTAATACACAGTTTCTTTTACACATTTTTCTACCAACGTGCTCCACTAAGAACTCAATAACTCAGACAACGGTTCTAATCAATAATTCTCTAGAATATGACTCATGTTTTACGTAGGCGGCGAAATAAAATGCTACTAACTGTGTTCAATGTTGCATACATTATTTTTCATCGTATAAGTCTTCATTATCATCCAATCCAAGTGCCTACTGCTGATCAAAGGCCTCATCTGAGACGGTTGGACGGTGGACGATTATTTTAAAATACCCAAACACACGCTTTGAACCATATGATTTTGTTATCAAGAGAAATGGATCTACCTAATGAGTCTAAACTTGATATATTTGGTAGCAGACAGTCCAAGGCTTCATCAGTTATCATCAATTGGAAACTGTCATCATACTAGCTCAATGGTACTACAATATAGTATTGTCAATTATAGTCTACATATAATTGTTAGGTGTTATGACAATAAAACAATTAGAAGTGTGTATAATTTCGATTTTACTAGCGTTCGCCCGCGGCTCAGCCCGCGTGGATGTCGATTTTATAAACTTTCTCTGGACTTCCACGAATAATTCAAGACCAAAATTAGCCAAATCGGTTGAGGCATTGCTGAGTAAAACGTTGCAACGAAATATGGCATTAATTTTTGTATATAGATTACATAGGCCATTGAGGCCCAATCCTTCCACTCCCCCAATCCCTAAATCTCCAAATCCCTAATCCCCAAACGTCAGTAACGCACTCGTACCTCCTCTGTTGTTGTGTGTGGGCGGCGCTGATTGCTTACCATCAGGTAATCCGTCTTCTCGTTTGCCGAGCTATCACATAACAAAAAACATAGTTCGATACAGGTCGACCTAAATGAAAGCGTGTTAAAAATCCTTAATTTTTCTAGCCCCGTAAGGTTAGGTTATAATATGTGTTAAGTTAAACAGCTTGATAGGGGGCGTCCATAAATTAGGAGGGGGTAGAGTCAAATCTCATCTAATCTTACGTTGGAGAGAGGGGGTCTCGGCAAATATCAAGCAATTTTTTCTGATTTCTTTTTACAATAACAATCTAACGCGTTTACGTAAGAAACTCACATTTTGAAAAATCTCAGTTGAGATTCGGGGATGGGGGAGGAGGTTGAATAAAATCTCACGACATCTCACAGGTTGCAGAAAATTAAAAAAAAAAACACCTCACGTAATTAATGGACGCCCCCATACACGCTGTAGTTACAGCTGTGTGTTCGCTGTCTGTCACTCAATAAATAGTAACGGAATAGCATTTTGCATGTTAACGGTATATTTTTGATTAGTTAACGGTACTTCTATGAAAGTAGGTCACAACAAATAATTCTAAACATGTATTTTTTCATTCTTTTCAGTAACAAACATGGAACACAATGATCTGAACGTAATATAAGACAGCACCACCTAGCGGCCGATGGGCGGACTACGTAAGATGCTACTAGCTCCATCTATTGATCGATAAACGAGATGCCACGCTTAAAATATGCGTCGGTTGCCAGAGTTGTTGTTATACTCGGGCTCTTTTGCCTATGGCTACAGATTATGCTTTCCGCGTCGACTGGCGGCATGTACAGAGATGGAGGTATGATATAATTAATTTTTTGTACTTTATTAATTAATAATTTTCTCATTTCATAATATCTTAAATAAGATTGTCTAAATGACACATGGGGTGAAATAAAATATTGGCCTGTGAACGCAGTAATTGTGTTCAGCGCCACTGTCGAAGTATTATTGGGTTTCGTCAATATTTTCAACAGGTTTTAAAACAAACTATGAAATAAATACAAACCAAACTAAAGTAATATTTACGGCCTGCTCTTGTAAACTGATTCGAGATTCACTTGACTGTGCGATGAACCGCGATTTTGAGCCCCGGTATACGTTGAAACTGGTCGAGCATCCCCGAATTAGTTTACTCGAGTAGACCGAAACTAAATATTTCAATATCCACTAACAGCATGGAGTCTGAAATTTAGTCCAGTGCATGACATAAAATATGTGGCAAAAAAGCATGATACGTCAACTAATTTTACTAATTACAGGTGACGACGGTATACAGTTGCAGGGAATGTTGATCAGAGTTAACAAAAATCAAATAGAAGGTTTTTAATTTGAATTTATTGTTTTTCTTTTTGTTCTTATGTCTTTTTGGAGGGGGGGGGGGGATGCAAGGTTTACATACTTAGGTTGCTTATTGGAGCATATCATACGATTCATTATACATTGTATATTATATTGATTTTCAGTACAGTCATTTGGTTTGAAATAAAAAACTGTGAAGAAAAACATTGAAAGGCTTGTTAGTTGTTGGTGTTGTTGAAGACTTGTTACGGGATAGGGTTGAAAATGAGCTAATGGATCACCTATCCGTCTTGATCAGTAGTCCTTTCAATGTACCCGACTTAAAATTCATCATATTATAATTATTGATGTCGATAAACGAGCGAGGACTACCTGATGGAAAGCAATCAGCGCCACCCATGGACATCCACAACAACAGAGGAGTTACCAGAGCGTTGCTGAAATTTTGGGGATTAAGGATTGGGGGAGTGGAAGGATTGGGCTTCCGGTAACCTCACTCCCTCGACGCAACACAACGCTGTGGTTGTTACACGCCGGTTTTCAGTGAGGCCGTGGTACTCCTGTCGAGCCCACCCATTCGTGGCGAAGCATGGCTCTCACACACTTATCTATTTACCCCGTTTTATGGAAACCATAAAATGTCTCCGAGTACCGTAGTTAGGCACTACCAAATGACTGGACTGAACATGTCATAATTTTGCACTCACGTATAATCATTATTATATCGTGCCTCAAAAAGGGTGTTTCATGTATCTATTTATTTATTTAAATGGTGTTTTCAAGTATTATTTTCAAGTTGTTTTTCTTTGTATCTAGTATTATTATTCTTGCGTTTTGTTCTATATTCTATTATCGACTGACTCCCGGTTTCCGAAAGGCCGATCAATGTTAAATTCAATTTAATCTCTTGTCAAGCCATCTGATTGGTTGACTGAATTATCAACAACCAATCAGATGACTTGACAAGAGATTTGACATCTAGTTAGTTGATTTTAACATGATCGGGCTTTCGGAATAAGTAATGTTTAGTCAAATTTGTATTTTTTTTTAACTGTATTCTCGGCTTTTGAACAAGCTATACAAAACCAGTTTTTTTTAAGGATACGATGGTAAATGAGCTTTAGAGTCTTATTACCTGATGGTAAGCAATCTGCTTTGCCCATGGTCACTCGTTACACCAGAAAAGTTGCAAACGCGTTGCCATCCTTTTACAAGTTGTTAGGGATTGGGAAATACGGAAGAGGGAAAGGGAAGCTTTCCAGTATTTTCTCTCACACGAAGAAACACAACGCTGTGATTGTCTCATCCTGGTTTCTTATGAGGCCTTGGTATCAGTCTTTTCGAGCCCACTCATCCCGTCTTCTTATGAAGCCATGGTATCATTCTGGTCGAGTCCGCCCAGCACTGTCGAAGCATGGGTCTCTCAAACTCTATTATGCTTTTCAGTGGTCTCGCTATTCTAACTACTAACTAACCGTGGAGTTTCTTGCTAGTTCTTCTCCATAGGAATCTACACTTTCAAAAGTGCCTGTATGGGTCTTATTGAAATAAATGATTTTGACTTTCACGGTCTTTCCGCAAATGGAATGGTCTTCTAGTAATACTGGTTTTGTATAGCTTGTTAGAAGCCGTGTGTTTTCATCTAATACGAAGATTGGGAACTTGGCATAGGCAAAAATAAAGTTTTGGTTGGTGAGCTTGTGAAACATTTTTAAACGAGTAACGATGGAGTTGCTTTCTTGTTCTTCTCCATTGGAATTTTAACTTTGGAACGAACACCTAGCTTCACTGGTAAACAGACTGACGGACTATTATTCTATTTGGGTTTTTCAAAATTACTTGTAACTCACCACATAAAGTTAGAATAAATAGTTTGACTTTGACTCTGCAAGTAAATTATTTTGACCATTAAAGTCACACTGTCATCGATTGATTGATTTGAGTTTATATTTATTTAAAATTCGTATTTTTCTAGTTACTTCTTTTGAAATGAATATGCTCAAATAGCATCAGTAGTTTGACGTCTAACAAACATAATGTCACAATACACAATCCGGATAGATCTTAAAAAGACTATCGATTCTGATACTTTTACTTTGACTTTTGATTTTTGACCTTTGATATTGACTTTTACTTTGACTTTGACTTTTGGCTTTTGACATTGACATTATGACAAAAGTATTGAATTTGACTTGTAGTTGTCTGTCAAGTACCCAAGTTCTAATTTTATAGTGTTAATTTTCCAATACGAAGTATCTATTTTGTGGAACTGGTAACAAGACTATTAGTTAAAAATATTATCTAAATACATAAATATATTATATCTATTGACAATCTATGTATTAGTTACTAATAATAAAGTAGGTATTTGAACTGTTGACGCGCAGTTGTTGTTGGGCAACCATCAGCCGTGCGTAATGTCGCACGGAACAACTCTTTGTGTGATCCACAAATTGTTGTTCCTAGTCTGGGTGTGATGTGTATGTGAAATTGTATGTTTGTAAACGCACTCACGGCACAGGACAAAATCCTAGAATGGGGTAACGCGTTTTGAAAAAGTCTAGGTACATTTTGAACCAAAAAATGGTCAGCAATCGACACCGCTTTTAGCAAAATGTTTGTGGGCTTTTTTCTGAATATTTAGGGATACAAGGAATATGGTTTTGGTGATTGAGTATAGGGATTGATTGGGCCTATGGCAACCTCGTTCACACAACGAAACACTAGTTTAAAGCGGTTTTCTGTGAAGCTGTGGTATCCATAGCCAGCGCATTCTCTAAAGTTATTTGATTTCCTTGCTCCAAATTTTAGTTTTTAATGTTACGAAAAACAAATGATAATCTTTTAAGCAAGCATTTTAATATTTTCAGATGAAATTACTGTTAAGAATAAAATTATGGATTCGGTACTGCTGTCATTGCCATTTGAAGGTTTATTTTTTTTATTTGCTATTTTTTTTATTTTTGTGTATGTCTTTAATTTTTTTTTTATTATTGTACAAAACACGCTATTATCAGTTCTGTATAAAGTTTTTACATACATTCGTTTATTTATTATAATTTTAATGATTCACCCGAATAGTTGACACTATGCTCCTCATGGTTATGAGCCCCGGACATAGCTTGAAACTGAGCGAGATAACTCGACAACTGTTTGTTGTAGTATCAACTACTCGGGTTACACTGTCAAACAGTTTTATGAGTAATTCGTTTAATAATTTGTGAACATTCAAAAGATTCTCAGTATCAGTAAAGAGTTTATAATTCATCAAATTGTTCGCAATAAGAGGACTTTTATACCACAAGCCATGTTGTCATTCTAGAGAACAAATATCAATCGAAAGATGAAGTAGATGTAGAATCATCGCTTCGTAGTATAAAACAAAGTCGCTTTCTCTATCCCTATATCCCTATGTACGCTTACATCTTTAAAACTACGCAACGGATTTTGATGCGGTTTGGTAGAGATAGAGTGATTGAAGAGGAAGGTTTACATGTATAATACCATCCATTAAAAAGTGGAGGCATTACGCCCTTGCGGAGCTAAGGCTGGTCGCTAGTATAAACCTAATTGTAAAACAAATGACGATAATTAGATAATAGCGTGTTATTTTATTATATTGTGTAAATGTATGTGACGATATTATCATACCTACCACTGTACTTGGTGACATTTAATTATTATTTAAACGAGTCTTTAGTAATTATTTTTGTAACAAAGGAAATAGCATAGGTTTTAAGTTAATTAACAGAGAAAAGATTTACTAGTCACCAGTTATAAAGGGACTCTTAATCGTGAGCAGCGTGCGCGTCGCGCGACGTCGCGCTGCCGACTGACCGCTCGCGCGCCCATGGCGCCATCTACCGCTTGCTTCCAAGCAATAGATGCGGCAGCGTCTTGAGTAGATGTTGTATTGACACGCTCGGCTCGTTCAACGTTATTGTTTTGTCTCATTCCCGGGTCGACACAAATATTGTGTTGCATACCACGCTTACTGTCATCATCATCATCAGCCTGATGTCGTCCACTGCTGGACATAAACCTTCCAAATTGCACGCCACTGAGCTCGATGTTCAGCTCTTCTCATCCTACCACTGCCAGTCACCCTGCGGATGTCGTCGGTCCACCTAGCTGGAGGGCGCCCTACACTACGTTTGCCTAGACGTGGTCTCCACTCTAGAACACGTTTACCCCAACGGTCATCGGTTCTTCAACAGATGTGACCTGCCCACTGCCACTTCAGTTTGCTAATCTTTTACGCTTACTCTATCACACACTAATTTCGTATCTCTGTAGGTCGATGAAGGCTTCAAGATTGGTTTCTAAGCAGATGGCGTCTAGTTGCCGTCTCTGAAGACGAGCGAGCGAGCGAGCGAGCGAGAGAGAGAGAGAGAGAGAGAGAGAGAGAGAGAGAGAGAGAGAGAGAGAGAGAGAGAGAGAGAGAGAGAGAGAGAGAGAGAGAGAGAGAGAGAGAGAGAGAGAGAGAGAGAGAGAGAGAGAGAGAGAGAGAGAGAGAGAGAGAGAGAGAGGAGAAATCTAGTTTGAGTAATCATTAAATGTGCCTGAGAACGGTGGTTATATGTACATGTACTTTAAGAATCTTTTTATTTGGTATTGTTTTTTGTTTAATGATCTTCGTGGCTATACGTGTTTGTTGTCATTTAGGGGCATAGCTCATTAGAGCCATTAGGCCCCCATCCTGCACCGCTTCGCCTCACGGCGTCCACTCGTTGGTGATAGGTAGTCCACGGGTTGACGTCGCTATCACCAATAAATCTGCCGCGGTCAACGAGTGGATGCCCACGAATTTTTGAGTAGTCTGTTAATAATTTGTAATAAGGCAGCGCGCGGTCCACTCCGTTGTTGCAACGCTTAGTGACCATTGTCACCGCGTGGTCTACCCGCTGCGCCGTCCGTCCGTGCGTGACGTGATGATACGGAGTTGATGTAGTGAGCGCATACAAGACCATATAAAGAATACTAGCCGCACGAGGCAGTTGGTGTAAAGTGGGTGCCGGGTGGCTTTAATGAGCTGTGACCTTGAAGCTGTAAAGTACTGCTATACGTTTGTAAATAACTTCTGCCAAAATTTTGGTGATCAGCCGGGGTTGAGGGTCAAGCCCACTCATAGACCGCGGCCCCGGCCCAGAGTAGGAGAAGAAACGGGATGGTTTTTAGTCAGTAAGACTCTGACACTCCGTTTTGTCCCACCAAGGACGAGATAAGTCAATTAAATGACTTTCCCCCCTGACAAAAAAAAAATAAAACTTTGGTGTACCGTCTATAAGGCGTGTTTGTATTATAATGGCTTCAAATACAGCTACTTTCGCTTTAACACAAAAATGTAAATCCTCATGCTTAGAATGTTAATACTCAACCATAACAGGTTTTGTGCCAAATTAATGCCATCAAAGCCATCTTGACTAATTTTGTGCAATAGTCAGATAAATGTTATCTGAGGAATAAAATAGTTGCTGTCACTGTCTTATATACACATTCTGACGCGACAGCATCATAATATTCTCCAGTTAACTTTTATCTTATCATTGAAAAATCAGCCCTTAATAAATTAATCTAAATTTGTAATTAAATCGCTTTCTTACTATATTTTTGTCATTTATGTATACGCAGTGCGTTGTGCGATCTGTCATACATTGCTTATAAATAATACCGTGTGAATCGATCCTCAAATCCTCTATTCATTAACCCCTAATAATTCACAAGAGGCCGGCAACGCGTATTGCTTACCATCAGGTAATCTGTCCGTGGTTCAAAGCTGCAATGCAAGACAAAAGCACGACGTTTTGCTTATGCTTAAACGACGCCTAATAGGTTTATAAGCAGACAAATATGTTCTAGATTGAGAAAATAATATTATTTTGTCATCTATACTCAATACTCATCGTTTTAAATAAAGACATCGTACGTCTCCAAGTTATAAATTCTCGACAAAATATTTACAAGATACGCGCCTCATTTATAAGATAAATTACTTGAAAAATTGGCTTACGGCCAAGTTTCACTTATTTCAAAATAACTGACATACTTCCCACAGAATTCTAGTGACAATTTTATTAATGTAGCGTAAGGTTTCAACAAAATTACAAACGTATACTTAACACCATCTGCCGAGAGAGTAACTGAACTACATCATTGGGTACTTGTTTTTAACGCCATCTAGTGAGTAAAACGTTAGACAAGTTGGTATTTCACTTGGGTTTGGGTTGTGTATCTGTTGTTTTTTTATTTGTGGCGTTTATCATTGGTTTTTCAAATAACAGGGAATCCAATTTTGTTTACTATTTTAAAGAATAAGGTATTTTTTGGTGTTTTTATTGTATTTTTGGGTCATTCTGTGTTGTCGACACTGTTACTTCTATTGCTATATTGTATAGGCTATGGTAAATTATCACGATGTGACTGTGTGCAATTTTCAACCTTGTGTTCAACAAAGTTTGGTGTATTTTTGTAAAGTATGTCAGTGCTAGTAAGAAAAAGCTAGTACATACAATGTAATTTGAACTCTATTCCAATTGCAAAATGTTTTAATTTCAGAGGAGCTGATGAATGCTAATGAAACATCTGAGCAAGTTTTAGCATTGGTGCCGCCTGAGCTTCATAAGTATTTGACAGTACATCCAAGAAACAATTCAGGTTAGTATATAATACTTATTTATCCTCCCACTTACCCAAATAAGAAAAAGCCTTTGACAAAAGCGTCCTTTTTAACAGCGTTGGTCCTAAAATGATGCCCAGAGGAACCCCATAAAAATTTTAAATCTTGTATGATGGTCTTGTAGCGACATCTATCGCACAACCATAACAACAGCACCAATCACGTGCAAGAATCTCCATCGCGCTATAAGAGTTTTCCACACAATTAGCACCCATACCGATATCCCGACAACAACCGTCGGGCAGTAGCCCACCAGGCATGAACACCTCGCCTGGTCGGAGGATCCTCCCTTTTCAATGGAGGATGAGGAACTTTCCACCCTGTTCCTCATACCTCTAAAGTCTCACCAATCGAACAACGGTACGTGTCTACCGATCAAGAGTTTTGGAAATAGTTTAGGAATTATTCGTAATAAAGGAATGATATTTTATTTTTTCTCGATTTCATCGAACTAACTTTTCTCTGGCCTTTATACAGCGTTAGAAATAAATCCACAAGTTACTCGTCTATTTTGCCTACATCACCTCGTTTTCAACCTTTTTGGACATAGGCTTGTTTTTGTTATGTATTGTGTATATCTATTTTTGATATGTATTTATATAATTTTGCTGTTTAACAGTTTATTAATTCTTATTGTTTTCCTTTTTCCTAATTGTGTTTACACAGTCAGTCTACACAACTTTTTATTCTAACTCCTTTATATCCCTCCTCCAGCAGGCTTATGGGAATAAGCCTGCTGGAAGAGGGATATTAGGGATGGTTGCTGGAAGAGATTTCTGAAGAAATAAGCTGTGCCTTTGTACCTAATTGTTGTATTATTTTTCTTGTCCAACTAACTGTGTGTACAAAAATTATTAAATTAATAAATAAATAAATAGGCGTCTCCAATCATCTATCGAATTTTGTCATTCCAACTGCCTGAAAGTCACTTTACATCTTCGCCCTTCTATTTTTACCTAGATATTGTCCCCTGTTACCTGATAGTAAGCAGTATCTCTAAGGACACCCGTAAAACCAGATGGATTGCGTTGTCTTTTGTTGATAAGGGGTTATGTGGATTTATAGATATGTTTATCCACGTAATCGTAAAAGCAAGTGGCGTCACGCCAAAAAGTGTTTTGCGGCAGAGGTATCTCTGCAGGCAAATGCCTATTGACGATAGGTTTCGCTGTTATCCCAGCGGTTCGCTTGCTTTAAGCGGGAAGATGAGGAGTTATAGGGGACAGGAAGGATTGTGCCAAACCAGATTCACACGGCGAAACATAATGTTATGGTTATTCCACGCCATTTTTCAGTGAGAACAGACATTTAATATTTCTGTTTAACATTCCAGGGAACTCTACAGATCGCATAGCAGTTAAGAATATAACAGAAATAAAACAAGCAATCAGAAGGTATAATGACGCACAGACAATTTACAATGAGGACATATTTGGAGCGGTGCAGAATGATACAGTTATTATTGCTATACAGGTAAGCATATATTAGTTCAACATTAATATTCCCTATTCAAAAATGGTAGCCCTGAGGTTAAGGCAGTTCGACGTCTGGCAAGTGTAATGCACATATCTACTATCACGGTTTGCCAAGGTCCGAATTCTTACCATCAGGTTTTTTTATGGAATAGGAGGCAAACGAGGCACGAATCACCTGATCGTAAGTGATCAGCCCCGCCCATGGACTTCTAAAATACCAGAAGAGCCACAGGCGCGTTGCCGGCCTTTTAAAAAGGAGTATGCTCGTACCAAAGTTTTGCTGTGCGAGGCAGAAAGTAGCGCGACAACCGCACAGTTATTGACTGCCAACCATCTATATGATGGTTATGGAAATATTTTCGTGATCAGGTGATCCTATCCTATAAAAACGGAATATGGAATATATACGAATCTGGAGCTGTCTATTATTGATTAATTCAACATGTAGACAAACTTAAGAATTTTTATTAAGAAAACACCATAAATATTAAAGTATATTCAATACATATATCATTTGAAAACGTAATAAAAATCAAGTCTTTCGTCCACAAATGAATTGCTGATAAATTCTGATAAAAAGGTTTTATCTTCAATATCTAGATTCTCATGCTTCTCTTTAAAATTGCGTAAATCGTAATTGCGTAGAGATAGACATCGGAGGATATTTGTGTATACTTTACGACTAAGCGAACCGGTATCGGCGCTTTGCCTCTGAGGTGAGGCACGGGGTAGTTGAACACCTCACTACTCCTGCAGAAGACGATGTCTGAGCAGATCAGGTTATCGCTAGCATGCGGCTGTCGAAGAATGAGGGTTTCCGTGACCGTGGGCATGTGGAGACACCGGGGTGGTTTTCTCTTCTCTTGAGTATATTAAGGTCTACAGTCCAATAGACTACAACGATAATATTTAGGCAACTTATTATGACCCTCTTAACTGTCTGATCTAAAAGGATCCTATGGTTTACTACTGCCAATTTTTGAGCGTAGAAGAAAGTCCTCATCGGGTGGTTGGATATGACATATAGTACACCCTCATCATCATAATATCAGACGTTCTCTGTTAGATCAGTTTCAAGACTGCGAGATCGGTCAGTTGTGAGAAAATGCATTCAAGAGTTTCCTGTGTTATTATCAAGATGGATATGAAGAAAATGTATAAAGGTTAAGCTAAAAATTTCGCCTTTGGCTTCTTTCGTCTGGCTAAAATCAGTTCTTTTCCGCTGAGTCCTTCCAGAACTATTCTCTTTGGCATTAGGCGAGAATCCCTTTTAGGCACAGACTTCTTCCCGTCTTTCGTCTTCTGAATCCCTCCTTCTTTCTTCTTCTTCGGTTCCTTTCTGGATGGAGATCCTGGACGATGTTCCATCCAGATGAGCTGAGCTTCATCGGGAATATTTTTGAGGATACGGAATTTTCTGGGTGCCTGAAATTTGAAGGTAGTTAAAAGTTCTAAGACATTATGACTGAGGTTTTATTCAAGGAATCCTCTTAAAAAAACGAATCTTATACATTTCTGTTATCCTGCATTAAATTCGCCCATAGAAGTGGAAACTATTTCGTTTTGTTCTACTTTGATTATTTCGAAAGGAGAACAAAACAACCACGGCTTAAAACAACCTTAGCGTTGTGTTTCGGCGTGGGAGTGAGATTAGCTCAATCTCCTAATCCCTTATTTCCAAAAGGTCGGCAACGCACACGTATCTTCTCTGTTACGGTTGTCCATGGGCGGTGCTGATAGCTTAGCATCAGGTAATCCGTCTACTCATTTGCCGCCCTATTACATAAAAAAGGCCCAATCACTCACCCTCTCCTCATCCTTTCTTAATCCTTAAATATCCGAAACCCTTATTCTCAAAAGGCCGGCAACCCCCTCGTTACAATTTTGGTCTTCTCCATGGGCGGCGCCGATTACTTACCATCAGGTAATACGTCAGCTCGTTTGCTGACCTATCCCGTAAAAAATGTATTATAGTATTTATTTTAGGAATCATAGTATGTCGTCATAGGTACCTGATACTCATTGCAATACTCCTCAGGCGGTTCGAAGGTAGGGTTGACTTGCGTTTCATCTTTTTCCCGTGCAGGTATTCTCGCGTACATGTATTTGGGACAATCCGGTTTTTGATACCTACGAAAATTTTTATCTATACTAATATTATATAGAGGTAAAATTTTTAAGTTTGTATGTAGGGGGTAATCTTTGGAACCACTGGTCGGATTGCCAAAATTCTTTCACTGATATGTAGCTACTATGTTCCTGGGTGATATAGGCTATGAAATATCACGCTATGATCGAATGTAGTTAAGCAGCAGGTGAAACCGCGCGAGAGTAGCTAGTAGAAAATAAGGCCGTGGTGGCTTAAAATTACAGTGGAGGTTATAGAGCCCGCTTTTCATGCTTCAGGGTGCGCGTGCGGTCCAAAACTTGGCAACTACCAGTGTGACTTTTTCCGAGTTCTATGTACTTCTTATGATTATTTAAACACTACTGAAATACGGTGAAGGAAATTATAAGCTTGAAATCGCAAATCCGCCTTTAGCAAGCGTGGTGATTAATTCCCAAACGTGTGAGAAGAGACGTTTGCTCAGCAGTGGGTATTTATAGGCTGATGACAAAGAAAAATTTTAGAGATAGCTTTTACCCGCAACTTATCAGCTACATTCCAAAAGCTGTTCTCAATTAATTCACGTAAGTCTTAATTTTCAAACAAATTATAGTTACTGAAGTTAGACATCACTGCGATTTGGGAGAGTCGATATATTCCAAAAAATTACCAAACTAAATCCCAATGGTCCAAATTCATCGGTTTCGGATTGAGAATCTTCATCCAGCGAAGTACATCGCTCCTGAAATAAAAAAATAACAATTTTGGATAAGTGTAACTAGGCCCAATGACCGTAAGGACACTTAACCGCTCTTGATAATCATTATGGTTTTTTGGACACTCTTTTTTATGTAATAGGTCGGCAAACGAGCAGACGGATTACCCGATGGTAAGCAATCAGCGCCGCCCATGGACACCCGCAACGGAGGAGTTACGAGTGCGTTGACGACGTTTTAGAAATTAGGGATTTGGAGATTTAGGAATTGAGGAGGAAATGGGGGAGGGGAAGGATTGGGCCTCCGGTAACCTCACTCACGTGGCGAAACACAACGCTGTGGTTGTCTTCTAATGACTTCTGTCCCAGAGTGAGGCAATAGGGAGTTTAAGACTCTTCCTGACTAAAAACCCCGTTCCTTCTCTTGCTCTAGGCCGAGGCCGTGCCTCATTGCGCTTGCCCAGCAACCCCGGCAGCAAGCATCTCTTGCGTTGCGTTTTGTTGGTTATCCCCATCTTAAAAATTCCCTTAATCCTCAAATCCTAACCCCAAAACGGCTGGCAAGTCACTTGGCATACCTTAACACAACTCGTGTTGTACATATCCATGTGTGGCGCAGATTTACTTACCATGAGTGGATGAGATTTTGAGCTTTTTTGCCATTTTGTCCAAAAATAAAGGATTAGAGAGACCCGATATGGTTCTTCTCTCTATGCTAGCTGCGTGCCGAGATCCTTGTGAAATTCCCTTGAGTTGTTATTTTTGACCCCCGACGCAAAAACGACGGGGTGTTATAAGTTTGTCTGTCTGTGGCATCTTAGCTCTCAAACGGATGATCCTATTTGAATGCGTTTTTATTTTGTTAGTTTCAAAGGTATCAGTCAGTATATCAGTCGAGCGAGAGTGTTCTTAGCTATGTTTGAGAAATCGGTTCAGGTCTTCAAGGTCATCAGGTCGTTTGTGAGATGTTATAGGAAAATTACACACTCAGTTTACTATAATATAGCATTTTTAACTTTTCCCCATAATAAATGCGTCCCCTTTTTGGGTCGGAATTTGTTTGAATTTTTATTGTATTATCTTACCTGGTATAATTCTGTCGGATCCCCCAACTTGGTCCAGTCAGGGATTTGAACCAAGTGCAGTGTGTTGCAGGCTTCCTTATTGGCAGGTTGATACTCCGCTTGAATCGTACAAAGTCGGTTGCAAATACTTTCCTTATTGCCGCTGTAATAATCTGAAAAAGAAATGCATGCAAATGCATTTTGTTTCCTAAGCTTCCGCTACCACCTTCTTGACATGACTTCACCGGAGGCCCAATCCTTCCCTCCTCCGCACTCGTAACTCCTGCGTTGCGGATGTCCATGGGCGGCGCTGATTGTTTACCATCAGGTAATCCGTCTGCTCGTTTGCCGACCAATCACATAAAAAAAGTTTTTCGTAGGCACAAAAAATATTTTTTGGCGTTTAAATAAATAATAAGAATTGTTAAAAAGCCCTCCAGCTAGGTGGACTGTCTATATCCGGTGGCTGGCAGTGGTTGGACGAGAAGAGCTGAACATCGAGCTCAGTGGCGTGCAATTAGCAAGGCATATGTCCAGCCGTGGACGACATCAGGCTGATGATGATGATGAATAAGAATTATAAAAATAAAAAATAAAATAAAAATGTGTAGATTTTGACAGTTCAAAATAAGTATTGGATTGGCATGTCATGTTCGTCAGCATGCACATGTGAGTGCCATGTTCGAGAGGATAAAATATAAAATTTTTATAATCAATTCCTCGATTGGTCCCATCGTTTGTTCTTTGTTTTTAACAAATTACTAATAAACTTGTACTACGTATTATATAAAAAAAGAGTAATGATGGAGTTTCTTGCTCGTTCTTCTCCATTCGAAACTACAATTTGAAACCTAGCTTCACTGACGAACCGACTGACAGACTTATTAAATTTGACGTTTCAAAAGTACCTATTTATGGTTTAGTTGGAATGAATGATTTTGATATTTTAAACGCTTTTAAGATATTACTTACTTTGATATGTTCGAAGTCATGGATATTTATCTTGGGCAGTTGCGACGGGTCTTCAAAACGAAGTAGCCTTCTCCCATTAATGTGGTTGTCTAAGATGCATTCCTGGGACATTCAAAACGTTTGATATGTTTACCTTTAAATCTAAATCCCCTAAAACCTTTATCCCCAAAAGACTGGCAACGCACTCGTAACTCCTTTGGTGTTGCGAGTGTCCATGGGCGGCGCTGATTGCTTACCATCAGGTAATCCGTCTGCTCGTTTGCCGACTTATAACATGAAGGGCGACAGAAGAAACTTAATGATCTTCACCCTCAAAAAAAAAGATGTTTTCGCGGGATTTCACCAAACCCTTGGCTGTTATTAGGCGTATGGTATTATTAAAAGTGACCTATCAAAGACGAATTGTCGTAACCGAACTAGCAGTTCCGCAGATGAGCGCTTCTTCATTTTTATTCTACTAGCTCTTACCCGCGGCGTCGCTCCCGTCATTTACCCTACTCTACCTACCCTACCTACCCTACTCTACTAACCCTACCTACCCTACTTTACCTACCCTACTATAACTACCCTACTCTACCTACCCTACTCTACCTACCCTACTCTACCTACCCTACTCTACATACCCTACTCTACCTACACTACTCTACTTACCCTACTCTACCTACCCTACTCTACCTAACCTACTCTATCCTATCCTATGTCCTTCTCCTGGCTCCTATGTCCTTCTCCTGGCTCGTATGTCCTTCTCCTGGCTCCTATGTCCTTCTCCTGGCTTTAAACTACCTCCCTGCCAATTTTCAGCTAAATCGGTTCAGCTGTTCTTTAGTTATAAGTGGTGTAACTAACACGACTTTCTTTTATATATATAAGATATAGTTTACAATATACTAGCTTTGCCACTCACACACGGTTTTACTCGCGTACTTTAGGTATAGCCTATGTTCACAGGGAATAGTGTAACTTCCTAACGGTGAAAGAAATTTTCAAATTCAGCAGTAGCAGTTTTAGTAACTCCAATAGTTTTGAGGCTTATTCCATTCAAACAAACAATCAAATCTTTCCTCTTTATTATATTATAATAATATACAGTAATATGCTAGCTTATGCTAGCTTCGGTCGCAGTTATTTAGAAAGTAGTTCAACCAATAGTTTTTACGTGAAAGAGTAACAAACATCCATCCGTACCTATTTAGAAACTTTCGCATTTATAATATTACTACGAGTAGCTACACCGGCTAGTTTCACCGGCTGCTCGGCTCCATTTGATCGTAGCGTGATGCTTTATAGCCTATAGCACTCAGGAACATTGCAGCTATCTATCAGTGAACGAATTTTGGCAATCCGACTAGCGGTTCCAAAGATTACCCCCTACATATAAACTTACAAATTTTACTTCCTCTTTCCATTCCATTCTTTAATATTAGTATAGAATAGATAGAAAGACTAGGATATACCTAATTACTATAGCATTGAAAAACTCCCTTATAACCCACAAGACGTCGACAAAGCACTTGTAGTAACTACTTTGGTATAACGAGTGTCCATGGGCGGCGCTGATTGCTTACCATCAGGTAATTCGTCTGCTCGTTTGTCGACCAATTACATAAATAACGTTCAGAATACCTTATACTGTGGAAAGCCGACGTCCTCATCAATCCATTGAGCTACTTCGAACTTCGACCACTCGAAAGGATCTGGGTAATCCAATTTATCCACTACTGCAGCAGCTAACTCGTAGAGGGTAGGTGGGGAGACTAGACATCTGTTCAGGCGACTGTTGAAACGAAATAAATTAAACCTTTCAATCTTGAAAATTCGAGAGTTCGAGACGCCGGGTGTGCGAACGCCGGCGTTCGCTTGGGGTTTGGTTTGTAAAGGTCGGCAAACGAGCAGACTGATTACCTAATACTATGGACACCTGCAACAGAAGATTTACGAGTGCGTTGCCGACCTTTCGGAATTAGGGATTTGGAGATTTAGGGATTGGGCCACAGACGGGGCCCTATAGGGCTGATGTTTAGCCGGGGTTGCGGGGTAGGCGCAATGAGGCACCGCGACCTCGGCCCAGAGCAGGAGAAGGAACATGGGGGTTTTTAGTCAGTAAGAGTCTGACACTCCTTCCCGCCCGGCCCTGGGCGGGAGAAGCCATTTGATAATTTTCCCCTCACAAAAAAAAAGGGATTGGGGAAGGGGAAAGATTGGGCCTCCGGTACCTTCACTCACATGGCGAAACACAACGCTGTGGTTGTTTCTCGCCGGTTTTCTGTGAGGCCGTGGTATCACCCCGGTCGAGCCGACCCATTCGTGCCGAAGCATGGCTCTCCCATATTTAAACTTACACTGGTTTTGGTTTTTGACCGGCAGTCATTACTATAATTTTTGGTTTCTCAACAGTTACAGATAAGGTGCGATGCGGTATCTGGACCTTTTTTGGACGCTTCCTCTGCACCTCATCTTCCTGTTTGACATGGATCTGTAATCAATCAGATATCGTTTTTTTTTTTAGAAAAACGTTGTCTCCCTAGTATTTTCTTCAGTGTCGTGGGTGCGTTTACAAACATACAATTTCACATACACATCACACCCAGACCCGGAACAACAATCTGTGGGTCACACAAAGAGTTGTTCCGGCATCAAGTTGCGTGGCAGCCAGATAGCCATCGTGCCAACCGTGCAGTCAAATCTAATCCTGGTCTTTGAGTTGTTAGGCAAAGTTTATTAGGTACTGCCGCCTCGGTCTAGGGCAGGAGAAGGAACGGGGGGTTTTTGTCAGTAAGAGTCTGACACTCTTTTCAATGACATCCCGACTATCAGAAGAGTTACGAGTGCCTTGCCGGCCTTTTGAGGTTAGGGAATAGAATATTGTTCCGGCGTGAAACAACCGCAGCGTTGTGTTTTGCCGTGTCAGTGAGGTTGCCGGAGGCCCAATTCTTTCCCTCCCTCAATCCCTCCCCAATCCTCAAAAGGTCGGCAACTCACTCGTAACTGCTTTGTCGTTGTTAATCAGGTAATCAGGGGGCACGTTGCCGAACTATCACATAAAAAAATGGGACATTAAGATTGTTGATATGGGAAGGGAGAGAATGCGAAACTCGGTGTTTTTTTTAATTGCCTTACTATAGGATTTTCTCCTGTGCCGATACAAACCACCCAGACCCGAAGCAACAATTGATGGATCACACATTGGGGATCGAACCCGCAACACTTTTCATAGCAGCTAGTTGCCCAGCTACCGAATGTGGTTGTTTAATGCCTTTCCGAATCAATCTGGTCGAGCCGAAAGCTTGCCAAAGTGTGGCTCTTCCACATTGATATATTTTATTCTGACGTGACTGAAATGCACGGTAAAATATACCAAAGAATCATACTATAGTCACATCATTATCTTCTTCAGACATTGCGGCGATTTAATTTAAAAAAAAAGAACGAAATTTATAATAATTTTTAACATAAATAAAATATGACTTCGTCTCGAATGACAGATCCCTATTACACTGACACTGACAACAATGAACTGTCATTTCGACGTTTACCGTTTTTTTTAGGCGCGAAATAGTTGAGCGTTCGCATTGTAACCTCTTTTCGGTTCTTTTGAATTGTATTTTGGGTTTTGAGGTCGTCATCGTCGTCATCAGCCTATAAGTGCCCACTGCTGAGCAATGGCCTCTTCTCATACGGAGAAGGTTAGAGCATTGATGACGCTTGCTCAATGCGGGTTGGCGATTTCAAACTTATATTTATAAGTCCAGGTTTCCTCACGATGTTTACCTTCACCGTATGTCAGTGGTGTCTAAATAATTATAGAAAGTACATATAACTCGGAAAAAGTCACATTGGTACTTGCCAGGTTTCGAACCCACACCCTCATGCATGAGAAGCAGGCTCCTTAACCTCTGGGTTTTGAGGTCGGTCTTCGACTAATTTAAAAAAAAAAAATGCGGATCCTTCCCGAAAACCCCCACATATCAAACAGCGAAACCCCATCTCCCGGGCTAATTTGTGAATCTAAACCATCCAGGAACTCGAACGCATACAGGAAAATTTATTTAAATCGGTTAAGCCGTTTAGGAGTTTAATTACATACACACGTCCAGCAGCATTATGTATATAAAGATGAATCGCAAATTGTGTAAGTAAGCGCTTAACTCAACAACACTTGGACCGATTTTGACACTTATTGTTTTGTTGTAAATATTATAGTCAGAAGAAGGTTCTTATCAAAGAAAATATTAGAAAAGTGGAGGAGGAAACAGGGAATCAGTGACCTTTTCGTTGTTGGCGAGATACGCGGCGAATCTTTTATTTCGGAGTCGAATATTTTTGTATGTCGAGTATCCGATAGTTTAGGTTACGGTTATGGAGCTCTCTAACATAGTTAGCCTAGTTTCCATCCTCCCCCCTCTCTTTCCCTCTCTTTCTTTCTCTCTCCATCTCTCTCTCTCTCTCTCTCTCTCTCTCTCTCTCTCTCTCTCTCTCTCTAACAAATGTGTGTTTTTTTTATTTCCAGGTTCACACCCGTCTGACTTACCTCCGCCACCTGATTGTATCACTAGCTCAAGCCAAGGAGATTGACAAAACTCTGTTGATATTTTCACACGATTATTACGACGAAGAAATTAATAATCTAGTTAGAAGCATTGATTTTACTAAAGTAAGTATGTAATGTTTCAATTATTAATCAAAGATTACCTGATGGTAAGCAAACGGCGCCGCCCATGGACACTAGCAACACCAAAGGAGTTACTAGCCTGACTTTTAAGGGTTTTGGATAATTAAGGATTAGGAAGGAATGGGCCTTGCTCACACGGCGAAACACATAATGTTGTTTCACGCCGGTTTTCTGTGAGGCCGTGGTATCACTCCGGGCGAGCTGAAGCTTGGCTCTCTCACACATAAAATATCTGCCAAAAGATATCCCATCTTTTGTTTTATTGAAGAACTTCCGCTCGCGGCTTCGCAGCAGCGTTTTAAGCGATAGCTCGACTACAATACGCAAATCAAGTATAATTTATAGCCTATAGCACTCGGGAACATTGTAGCTATCTATCAGTGAAATAATTTAGGTAATCCGACCAGCGGTTCCAAAGATTACCCCCTACATACAAACTTAGAAATTTTACCTCTTTATAATACTATAGTATAATGTATACTAGCTATTTCTGCGTGACCCCATTATTTGCTGGGCTCGATAGGTGATTGACGTCATTTAGCCAATGAGGAGAGTAACAATTACTTAAATTTCTGTTCAATATTCGAGGATGTCCGACTAGTTTCGATTTACAACGGATTTTTCTAAGTGTGGGAGAGCCATGCTTCGGCACAAATGGGTCGGCTCGACCGGAGTGATACCACGGCCTCACAGAAAACCGGCGTGAAATAACCACAGCGTTTTGTTTCGCCGTGTGAGTGAGGTTACCGGAGGCCCAATCCTTCTACTCCCCCAATCCCTCCTCAATCCCTAAATCTCCAGATCCCTAATCCCTAAAAGGTCGGCAACGCACTCGTAACTGCTCCATTGCGAGTGTCCATGGGCGGCGCTGATTGCTTACCATCAGGTAATCCGTCTGCTCGTTTGTCGATAGTATACATAAAAAAAAAATTTGAAATGCAGCACACCACGTGCGACTTTGACGTTGGACCTCTTTTAGCTAACCAGTATCCTCTTTTAATACGAAACTCGTTAATTCAATATTAAACTCTGTATTAATATACAATAAAATCGATTTTCCAATTTCCAGGTGATGCAAATATTCTATCCATATTCCATCCAGACGCACCCTCACGAGTTTCCGGGAATGGATCCCAACGACTGTCCCAGGGACACTAAATTTGAACAGTAAGTGGCTTATGTTAAGGTGCAATTTTCTTTAACAGATCGTTCTATTCTCCTGACGATAAATTCGCATCTATTCTTAAGTTTTTACATTTCTAAAATACATCCTTCTTGGAGACTAAATTCTACAAAATGCGTTGGAAGATTAATCCCAGATGAAAAGTTATCACTACATAGTATAAAACAAAGTCGCTTCCTCTGTCCCTATATCCCTATGTACGCTTTAATCTTTAAAATTACGCAACGGATTTTGATGTGGTTTTTTCAGTAGATATAGTGATTGAAGAGGAAGGTTTATATGTATGATAACATCCATAATATAATGGAGAAATTTTGTATCTAGTGTTGTATAATATACTAGCTATCGCCACGCGTTTTTTCCCGCTTCTCCGATATTTTATAGCCTATGGCACTCAAGAACATTGTAGCTATCTATCAGTGAAAGAATTTTGGCAATCCGACCAGCGGTTCCAAAGATTACCGCTTACATAAAAACCTTCTACATATATAATAATCAATGCCACTTTTCGTTGTAATATTATAACTCAACAATGCCTCTACCGATTTGGCTAATTTTGGTTTTGAATTATTCGTGAAAGTCCAGGGAAGGTTTAAAAGGTCCAAAACAAACAGTTAGATATATTTGAGGCGTACTGGGCCTGGAATTCGCCAGGTCAGCTAGTTTTCCGCGCGGTTTCACCCGCTGCTCTGCTCCTTCAGATCGTAGTATGATGTTTTATAGCCTATAGCACTCGGGAACATTGTAGCTATCTATCAGTGAAAGAATTTTGGCCATCCGACCAGCGGTTCCAAAGATTACCCCCTACATATAAACTTACAAATTTTACCTCTTTATAATATTAGTATAGAGTAAAATGTCTGTTTATTAATATCCGTTTTTTTCTCTGCATTTTCAGGGCTGTTAAGTTAGAATGTAACAATGCATTATATCCAGATTTGCACGGACATTATAGAGAAGCCAAATACACGCAAACAAAACACCATTGGTGGTGGAAAGCGAACAGAATATTTAATCAACTGCAGTGCACTGCTGGACATACAGGTAAGGGTCTTTTGTCAGAAGAAAATCATCAAATGACTTCTCCCGCCCAGGGTAAGGCGAGAGAGAGTGTCAGACTCTTACTGACTAAAAACCCCCTGTTCCTTCTCCTGCTCTGGACCGAGGTCGCGGTGCCTCATTGCTCTTAATCCGCAACCCCGGCTGAACATCAGCCCTATAGGGCCCCGTCTGTGGTGGTCTATTGTGTCTTTAAAGCGCGCGCGGAACGCTACGCGCCGTACGCTCGGGTCTGGTTCTAGTCGGGCGGCGAGCTACCCTTACTCGTCGTCCGCAGACCTGGGCTCACGGTGGCCGGAGGTTGATAATGATATATCGATTGACCTTCGGTCCATAGTCATATCATTAGCAGGATTTTCTTTAGTACAATAAACCGAATATGTATTAAGTGTGGGAGAGCCATGCTTCGGCACGAATGGGTCGGCTCGACCGGAGTGATACCACTGCCTTACAGAAAACCGGCGTGAAACAACCACAGCGTTGTGTTTCGCCGTCTGAATGAGGTTACCGGAGGCCCAATCCTTCCCCTTCCCGAATAATTTGGGGATTGGGGAAGGGTCCGCCTTCCCCAATCCCCTATTATATACTATTATATCCTTGTATATCCCATATTCCCTAAATCTCCAAATCCCTAATCCCTAAATGGTCGGCAACACACTCGTAACTCCTCCGTTGCGAGTGTCCATGGGCGGCGCTGATTGCTTACCATCAGGTAATCCGTCTGCTCGTTTGCCGACTTATCATATAAAAAAATATGTGAACATGACTAATTTGTAAATCTCTTCTCCTCTAGGCTACGTTCTCTTCTTGGAAGAGGACCACTACGTGGCTGAAGATTTTCTGCACATCCTTAATCTTCTGAAGTCGACAGCAGACAAGAGTTGTCCGCAATGCGAAATGCTTTCTCTAGGGACTTATTTGAAAACCTACCAGTACCATGTCAACGGAGATAAGGTTAGTCCAAATACCCTAATCTTATACTTTATACTTCGACTGCACGGTTGGCGCGATTCGATTGTCGCACGGAACAACTCTTTGTGTGATCAACAGATTGTTGTTCCGGGTCTGGGTGTGATGTGTTTGAGATATTGTATGTTTGTAAACGCACCCACGACACTGGAGAAAATCCTAGTGTGGGGCAACGTTTTTTTTAAAAAAAAAGATAAAGATAGTTACATAAAAATTAATAGCTGTTTCTTACTTCCCCAAAAATGGGGAAAAGGATGGACCACATGGCTCATTATAGTCTTGAAGTATTCTTGACTATACAGGGAAGGTCTAAAAGGGCAGAAAATATGACTAAACAAAAAAAACTACACTACATTTGTCCGGACAGCCTGTTACGTACATGTAATTTTCGAATCAATTTTTTGAAAAAGGAATGTGTTCCTAATTTTGATTTTTGTGGTTTTTTTCCCGAATTAAGGTATAATTCTCGATTCGAATTTTTTGAAAAAGAATAAATTATTTTGATTAAAATTTGTTTTTTACTTGGATTGTCTCTTGTTAATAACTTACGAGAAAAGCTCGACTGTTTTCAATACAAACTGATATCTTTCGGACAGTTTCGGTAAATTAACTTTAATGAGTTATTCTGAATTACCATTATACGGTAACTTCTTAGTTGAGTGCTTCACAACGTAACGTTTTCCATTCCCGCACGGAACAACTCTTTGTGTGATCCACAAATTGTTTTTCCGGGTCCGGGTGTAATGTGTATGTGATATTGTATGTTTGTAAAAGCATTGACAGGAGCCAATCCAAGTTTTAAGATAAACATCAGGGCCGGAGTAACATAGTTAGGTATCCCTAGGAAATGCAATGGGCCTGTTTTCTTTGAGAATGCATTTTAACGATTTAAAAATATTGTCGAGCAAAGAAATTTTTTACCTGATATAAAAGGTAGTGTATTACTATTATTTTAGAGTCCTCTATAAAATTATACAAAGTTTTCGACAAAAAGAAAATGTGTTTGTGGCGTTGAGACCCAAAAAGGACTCCTAGATGGAGTTTCTTTCTCGTTCTTCTCCATTCGAATCTACAATTTGGAACGAGCACCTAGCTTCACTGACGTTGACTGACAGACTACTATTCTATTTTGATGTTTCAAAAGTACCTGTTTATGGTTTAGTTGGAATAAATGATTTTGATTTTGACTTTTACTTTGACTGCCTAGTCAGTGAGTTGAGAAGACCATTGGGTCTACTCCGTCTTTTAGTCTACTTGGCCCTGTATAACTAACTTGGACTGCCTAGTCAGTGAGTTGAGAAGACCATTAGGTCTACTCCGTCTTTTAGTCTATTCGGCCCTGTATAACCCACTTGGACAGCCTAGTCAGTGAGTTGAGTAGACCATTGAGTCTACTCCGTCTTTTAGTCTATCCGGCCCTGACTCACTGACACGCAGTCCAAGTTAGTTATATACCTTGGTCTGCCTAGTCAGTGAGTTGAGTAGACCATTGGGTCTACTCCGTCTTTTAGTCTATCCGGCCCTGTATGTCATTGTTTTTTTTTTGTTATTTGTTTAATATAATCGTTAATCCTTTATACATAATGTCTTATATAGAGAAAGAAAAATATGAATTTGAACTACATACAACAAGTCAAGCTGGCGAATGAAGAGCGAAGAAAGAAACACGAAAACAATCCTACGTGGAACTTCCAAGTCTATCCGCATCTATACACGGCGACCCAAAAGGTTTTTTTCAACTTGTAATTTATTTCTCTTCATAGTGTAACTTTTATAAGGGTTTCGTACGAAAATATTGGCAATGAGAATCGTTTTTCTAAGACTTTTCTGTCGTCCTTCCATCGGGTCTTCTTATGGAGCATGGTAACTAGACGTTATTCATCAAACTCCAAGCGAACGCCGGCGTTCGCGCTCATATTGTACTTAACTTTATATACTTAAAAGGATACCTCCATCCCAAGCTATATTTTACGTGTCACACACACGTCTCTTTAAAGAAAGAAATCTTTTTTTTTTCGCCTCTCGATTTTTTCATAGTGAAGAAAGTAATAAAGTTACAAACACCATATTTGAGTCGCACTACCGTTAATGTAGTTTTTGCGCTTAGAAATAACATTGGACAATAACTATTGAGCAACAGTTAACTGAAAAAAAAATGCCTCATCATTTATACCGCGTATATTGTGGGATTGGAACAGTTTGCCGGCTACAGTCTTTCATACAATTTTGGTGTCGTCAAGGCTATGGTGAATAGGCTCTTAATAAACTAGTGCGTCTTACCATCAACGATTGCATCACTGCTTACCATCAGGTGGGATCGCAGTCAAGCACTAGTTTATAGCAAATAAGAAAAAGAAAAAAAAACTCTAAATGAGGCTTCTTTACAACCAACATGATTTTCGTACGAAACCCTTCATACGCGAGTCTGACTAGCATTTGACAGGCTTTGATATGTTGACTGGTAATTAGTGACCTATATGTGTTTAAACACGTGACTGTACTCATGATAACAAAAAACTTTCCCAAAGAAACTTTTTTTCTATAGATACTCATTTGTTTTATTTTTATTAATGTTACAAAATTACTGTGGAAAGTTCAAACGAGGTCGCACGGCCTCGCCGCTAACAGCTGAACGGGCGACGCACGGCAGGCGCTCGAAGTTTGTTATAAGGAGTATTAGCTATACAATAAAAAAAAAACAAAAAAAACCGCCTTCAAAAAAAGTCAAACGATAAAAGTTCCTACACTAAAAAGTTAAAAATAAAAATTTGAATTGCTGCTTGCTTATTTTTGGAGTCGGTGCCAGCACAGGCAAGGAAATAGGAATGGGCCACAATCCCTTGAAAAACTACCTCTAACTGAACTATAAAACTACTTAATACCTATTTGCATACTCAAATATACATTAAATAAATTAAGACATAAATAAGGATTATAAAAAAAAATACAATCGAATTGAAAAACCTCCTCCTTTTTTTGAAGTCGGTTAAAAATAGTTTCTTTGGAAAAGTTGTTTTTTATCATGAGTACAATAACGTATTTAAATATGGGCCACTAATTACCTGTTACCCTTTACATAATATCACGCTGTTTACCAAATTGGTTAAATGTAGTTATTACGTTGTTTATAAACTTACATATTTCGCCTCCTGTGACATAAAAAATATGTCTTAATTTTTTTTAATGTGGTTATTAAATGTTTTCATATCTGCTTACCCCTTCAAAGGTAAACGAGCGTGATATTATATATTATATAAGGAAGGTTAAAAGCACAATTGGGGTTACTGTGTTACCGCTCACTAGATGGCGCGAGTGTGCTTCACCTTTTCGGCCAATAGGACATTACCTAGTGTCACACCATTAGTCGTTCGATTTTTGATGGCTACTGTGATTGGATAGGTTCACGTCTTGTTATAAGCGTCATCTGTTGAGCAAATCAGTTATCCCTATTAGATTCACTTCTTGTTATAAGCGCCATCTGTTGAGCAAATCAGTAACTCCTATCAGTTGGGTTAAGTAGAAGTTTGGTTAGTTTTAAAATAGATAGGTTTGAACTATGTATTGTTTAATTATGTTTTATAGTATAAAATAAGGGAATGGTTAATAGTAATAGTAATTTACACTTGTTTGAGAACCTGGAAGTGCAAGTTTTATTAAAGCACGAATGAGCTGGCCCGACCGAAGTGATAACACATCCTCATAGAAAACTGATGTGAAACTATCACCGTTTCATATTGTGAGTGAGGTTACCAGAGGCCCTAACGGAGGCCCTTCTCCCAGCCTCAATCCAGCTTGGAGAAGCAGGATGAATGATGTGCCGGAAAAATTCACAAAATGAATTAGGAAAAAAATCCGCTCAAAAAAAGCTACTTACTCACTGCTTTTAAGAGTTCCTGTCATTTTATAATGTAACAATATGCGAGAAAAATATTTATTTGATTTAATTTGATTAGTTTTTTTTTTAAATAGTATTAGTAAAATAAAAAAAAAACTTATGCCTGTTATAATACAGGAATTGTACCAAATTGTAGATTTTTTTTACTATTAACCATTCTCTTGTATAGCTTTGTATATCGCTAATGCATATTGTATGGAATTTGTATGAAATATTTTGAAGCATGCAAGCTTACGATAAAAGTGTATATATATTACAAAAATGTGCTGTCTTCTTTATTGGGGATAATGTTATTGAGTAGTTGTTTGGCTCTGCAACTGGTTTCTTGACGTTATCAAATAAAAAATAAAATGTTTAAAAATAATCACATATTTAAGAACTTAAATTTGATTAGAGCTGTTGCCGCGTGTTGTGCGGTAGATGTCGCTACATTTGCTTTTACAAGATATACCTATTATTATTATTGTAATAAGTTTACAAAACAACTGTAATTTTTGGCAGTTCATAAAAAGTATTGAATTTGACCTTAGCTGTCAAATAACCAATTGCAAGGTAGTTTTTGTAGATTTTTCTCTCATTTAAAATTGGGTGTTTTGTTCAGTCAAGAAAACATTTCAAAATATTAAGTCATTAATTGACTTAATATTTTTTTTGTTAATTATTATATTATAATATCAGCCAAACAAAAGTAATAATAAGTACCTACGATTTTTTCTTAATGTAGGAGGTTTGATATTATGTTTTGATATGATATTTTTATTTTTGACTGAATAAAATACCTAATTTTATTAAATAGATACTTAATTTACTTTGTAAATAGCATTTTATTTTTACTGTTGGTGAAGGGTGCATGTGCTATCTTCTTCTTATATACCAAAGTGTATTTCTGTTCGTTAGCCTCTCTAAAATTCAGAAACGGATGGACAGATTTTGTTAAATTTGCTGCTGCTATGTTCGTGAAGTTTAAATGGAGTTTCAGTTGATAAAAAATTGCATGTGAAATAATAAACAGCTATAATTTTCTTTCTCATCAAAACTGCTCGATATGTTACTTTAGATATTTGACAACTAACAAAAATGATTTTGAAGCGATACGAAGCTATCCAGGTTGCCTAGTATATTATATTATTCCTGGATACATATAGTCCATGACAGTCCACTAGTTTTATGACTATATCCTCTATAAGAAAAAAGGGTTCAGGTTTATCAGAGAACCATCCGGAGCAAGACACGGTGGAGCATACGGTGGCGGTGTGCTCTGTTCGGTCTAAGCACCACTCTGTACTCACGAAGCAGTAAGAGCGTTTGAGCGTTTGATCTATTATCCTCCTCTCGCTCCAGCCGCCGGAATGGAAGACATTTCAGGCGTCTGAGATCTCATGACGATCTCCAGTCACCGGAAGCGCGGGTCTGCGGACGATGAATGAATAAGGGTAGTTCACCGTCTGACCTGAACCAGTCCCTCGATACGCGCCTCAAAGAGTCAATCGACCACCATACATGAGGCCCAAGAGGGCTGATATTCAGCTGGGGTTGCGGGGCTAGCGCGATAATGTACCGTCACCTCGGCGTTGAAACTCTCCTCATCCTCCAGTCCTCATGATGATGACGATGATGGTTCCATACTTAATCGGTTGACTTGCCTGTTACTTTAATTTACAACTCTGGTTTCCCTTCAAAACGCTTAAATCTTTCGCATTTACTTTGACTTTTGACGTTGTCATTTCAGTTGCACTATGAAAAATACGCCATTTATCTACTAAGTGACAATGGCATGTAAATAATTGTCTCTTTTTAATGTTAATTCTGTTTTTTTGTAGATTTTGTTTAGTAAACTGGTCACTAGATGGCGGTATTACTAAAATGACTCGTATCTAATAATTTGACAAGTAGTTAGAATTACATTAAAACTCTTTCTTTGTAGCTACTATTGTCTAGTGATTGAATTATACGATGTATTATTGTTTTGTTCTTTTAACTTTAATGCTTAAATACAACTGGGTACATAAACAATAGATTGGACTTCTTGACTTAGTCAATGACACCAAAATTTTACAATGAAACCATTTAACGATTTAAGGCACAGTCAACTACATATCGGTGGAAACACTTTTAAAAGTTTTAAAGTTGAAAAATTTTCACATGCGAAATAGATAGTCATACCTCTTAATATTCTGTTTCTTGTTGTGGTCATAACAAATTTATCTATAGTTATGAATACTGATACTGCTGACTTGATGCCGGCTGTACAATAAACTTAATATTCGTATATTTCTGGACAACAACAACCTGTATACACGGAGTACATTCCACATTCAAAGAGTGACGTCACGAGCCCCTACTCCTGAATTTGAATGTGCTGTATCTTTGTCAATATTATTCGTATGGACAAATAAAAAAATACGTATTGAATATTTTTCTATAATCTAACTGACGGACTAATTAGAATCTGTATGTGAAACTGTTTTAAAAAGAGTAACCATGGAGTTTCTTGCTCGTTCTTCTCCATCGAAATCTACACTTTGGAACGAGCAAATAGCTTCACTAAGAGGACTGACCGACAGACTGACAATATATCTTCAAAATTTTGTTTGACGTTCAAAAGTGCCTGTAAAGGTCTAATTGAAATAAATGATTTTTGTCTTTTGACTTTAGAATCTTGTTGTTTTTACCCAGGAGACATCCTTATTAACTGAGAAAAGCTCTACTAGTCTTATTCATAGCCAACTGACAGTTGCTCACGCTGCTTATTAATAAGAGTCCCGGTAAGACTTGACCCGGTAATACGAGCTTTTCTCAGTTAATTCACGCGAGTTAGTCGTTACATTCAATTACTATAGTACTTATGTGTCACGATTTTTGCTATTCAAAAATAGAAATTGTAATATTTATTTAATGTATAATATCACTTTGAAAAGCGACCTATATATGACTTTTTGACTAAGTCAAGTCATGTTTCCAATTTCTTCGCTTCTGCTTGTAACAATTATTAGTAGGAGCATGTCTATCGATTAACGGACAGTGTCATTAACTCATGTCTACATTTGCTTACTAGAATTTTGACACAATCTGTATGGAGCTTATGTCAGAATTTGGTAGTTTCCTAGGTCAAAAATAAATTAATTCGACGTTACGTTTCAATGCAATAAAATATTGAGAAATAATTACTTACTTATAATTTTATTCATCGATCTGTCGATACACAAAATTTTCGCAATTTTTTTGCTATTAGTAAGTTATTTGACGCTAAAATACTATGACGCCATAATTTGCAGTTTCATATAAATTTCATAGAGAAGTATAGTTTTTGACATTTCGATAAAAATATTGAATTTGACTAGTTGGAAACTGCCATATTATATGTTTAGTAAGTTAGCAAACTAGCATTGTTTGGTTACTGAGACTGCCCGTTAGTATGTTTTAGTAATAAATATCTCTTCTACTTTGTATTTTGTTTTTTAATTGGGGTTTTAGAATTGCACTCTCTTCTACTATAATCTGTTTTGAAAAGGCTGTATATTGTAATGCTTCTTAGCTTTCAATAAAAAAGCATGTTTAGATTGTAAAATATATTATATTTTTGTATATATGTAATAATTGATAGTTAAATAGTTATGTTATAAAAAAAATGTGTCTATGACCAACTGCCAAAATTTCCCGCCAAAATCTGACAGTTGTGTAAATAATGTTGTTAGTTAATTAACTGAAAATTCTACCATTTTTCTTTTGTGGTTTTTTGTGTTTTATGTTTATTTTTTCTTGTTTTCAGGTAGAAATAACACCATGGCATTCTAGTATGCATAATATGGGGTTCGCGTTCAATAGGACTGTTTGGAATCATATTATGAAGCAGCAGAGTCAGTTCTGTGCTTACGATGATTATAACTGGGATTATTCTTTATTACATTTATCACAAAACATGCCAGGGAGGGAAAAGTTTAAAGTTATTGTGTGTAAAGGCCCACGTGTTTTTCATATTGGTGAATGGTAGGTATTTTTTTCTTTTTTATTGTTTGTTTCGTGGTCTTAAAAAAGGGTACATGCAGGTCTTACTTCCCCAAATCAGACTTTTACCGCTTCCTTATATCTATTTGTGATAATCTAAATTTTTTATTATTAATTATACTTCAGTTAATTGAGAATAGCTCGACTAGTATCAAGTCACATCGTGACTTTTATTCGTAAGCGGCATTCGCGTCGCGGCGACGTTGCGCAGTCAATCAGTTAATGAGTAAGAGTCTTCTTGTGACTTCAAACTAGTAAAGCATTTCTCATTTAATTAACGTGAATATGTCGTTATTTAAAAAAAATGTAAATTTCACGATAGTTTATATTAAAAAATAATCTCTATTTCCTATGAAAGAGTAATAAGATACCTTGCTCTATTTATCCATGGTTTCTTTAGAGCTATGTTGATCATGATTTCGTAGTCGACTTACGTCGTCAGAAATTTTTTAAGACTTTATTTGAATTAAATTTTCTCCATTCCAGCGGTTTCCATCACAAGAAATCAAATTGCAATGCATCAACGGTGATAAGTAAAGTACAGAAATTACTGCAGAACGCCAAACCCTACCTTTATCCCACGAGGGTAAGCGCGCAAGTGACGGCGGGCGGTGCTAAGCATAATAAGAAGCTAGTGAAGGGAAATGGAGGGTGGGGAGATATTAGGTAAGATTTTTCCACTCGCATTTATAGTATTTTAATCAACAAATGGCCTTTTTGCCCTGAAAGAGAGTGTCAGACTTTTACTGACTAAAACAACTTTCTATCTACTGTTTTGCCGAGCCGACCCATTTGTGCCTACTCATGGCTCTTCAACGCTTATCTCTCATTCACATCATCTTAGAAGAAACGTGAAATTAATCGCGATAATCATTCTTTCTTTTACAGAGATCAAGAACTGTGCACAAACATGACGAAAGTTGGTCGACAGCACAGGCACACGATATTTTACGCGTAAATTTAATTAAAAACACATAATAGCATATTAAAAAAATACACACTCTGTATAAAGGTGGAAGGGTTTGATAACAACCTGTATACACGTAGTACATTCCACACGCTGTACATAATAGGAAAATACGCATACGATTTTGAACTTTATGTCGTAGATATAATGAAGGTAAAGGATTATATTTGTGCACTTAGAAATATTCTGCAGCTAATTTAAGCCTTATTATCAGTCAACTCGCTATTATCTATATAGTGAAAATCGATAAAAATGTTAAACAGATCTGATTTTTTATTACGAAGACTCTGAAATAAATAAAATACGCGTTTGTTTCAATACCTCCATATAAGGTCCTGGAAAACTTACGTGGTATAGTTCATCTACATTATTTTCCATATATATTCTGTATCTGAAACTGATTTAAAAAGAGTAACCATGAAGTTTCTTGCTCGTTCTCCTCTATCGGAATCTACACTTTGGAACGAGTGAATAGCTTCACTAAGAGGACTGACCAACAGACTGACACTATATCTTCAAAATTTTGTTTGACGTTCAAAACTGCCTGTAAGGGTCTAATTGAAATAAATGATTTTTGACTTTTTGTACGTAGTAGCTATAGTCGTACAACGTGCAACGTTTCACAGGTTTTATTCCCGCACAAAACAATTCTTTGTGTGATCAACAAATTGTAGCTTTTTTTGTGGTATAAGTCAGCAAACGAGCAGACGGATTACCTGATGGTAAGCAATCAGCGCCGCCCATGGACATCCGCAACACCAAAGGAGTTACGAGTACGTTGCCGGCCTTTTGGGGATAGGGGTTGCGGATATAAGGATCGGGAAGGGATAGGGGAAGGGAAGGGATTGGGCCTCCGGCAACCACACGGCGAAACACAACACTGTGAGTTGTTTCACGCCAGTATTCTGTGAGGCCGTGGTATCACTCCACACTTGTTTATCTAACAATCCATGTCTAAGTTTCTTTTTTATTTTATGCCCCACTCTACGATTTTCTCCTGTGTTTAGGCGTTTACAAACGTACAATTTCACATACACATCACACCCAGACCCGGAACAACAATCTGTGGATCAGACAAAGAGTTTGTCCGTGCGGGAATAGAACAGTTGCTACAGCGCCAACCGTGTAGTCTTTATTAAATTTTGTATTTATATTTATTTAGGGCTGATTTTTCAATGGTTAGATAAAAGTTACCTGCGGAATAATTATGATGCTGTCGCGTCAGAATGTTTGTGTAAGAGAGTGACAGCAACAATTTTATTCCTTAGATAACATTTATGTGACTATTGAAAAATCAATCCTTAGTTGTTTTTAATTCTTGATATTAAGTTTTCAAATGACTTTCATCTGGACGACATCGCTTGTAAAGTTGTAGTATAATACACCTTATAAACAAATTTTATATGCGGTTATGCTAGTCAATTTTCGAATTTATTGTTTTGTCCATAAGACTTACATTAGCTGCAGAATTATTAGTGTCAAAAACAAAATTTTTCTAGCAAGATTAGTTTTTAAGTCTACGCGTTAAAGTTCAAAATACCCTATGCAAATTGTTAAAAACAAGAAAATTAAAGCAAGCCATACAAAAACCATATAAAAAAAATGCAATTTATTATATTTTCGTGATTAACCTCGAATGGTAGTTTTTAGAATCAAATCAAAGTAATGTTGCCACTCAACAAGAAAAGCTACTGAATTGGTAGATTTTTTTTCAGTGATAGCACTTGACGTATTAAAATTTTGTACTTATTATTTTAATGTATATAAATGTACCTAGTTATTGATCAACATATAATTTGTATAAACGGATAGAAACATCAATTTTCAGTTGTATATAAAAATATATATGTAAGTATATAATATAAAAAAGTTTAAAAGTGATGCTTTAATTGTAGTTTATATGATATTAAACATTAAATAAATTGGTGTTGCTATCCTCAACATTTCATTATTTATTTAGTAAATCTGATTTTTTTTTACTTTTCACAGAAATGTTGATAGGTTCCGTTCAAGTTTTTTTTTAGAATCTATTATGTAACATGTTTGTGTTATAAATACTCTTTTTCAAAAATGAAAATCTATCTATTACCTGTTTTTATTTAAATTGCAATGTAGGTATGTATGTTTATGTGGGAACTGGAAACTTGTAACTAAATCCCGAAGCAGATATCTTCAACGGATTGAGTAGAAATTCTGTAACACGTTCAGTTTGCATGACAATAAATGCTAAGCTGTATGACAGAACTCTAACACCCGGTTTCTGAAAGGCTTGTCAACGCTAAAATGAACTAATCTCCTGTTAAATCTCTTGTCAAGTCATCTGATTGGTTGTTGATAATTCAGTCAACCAATCAGATGACTTGACAAGAGATTAAATTGATTTTAACATTGATCGGCCTTCCGAAAACCGGGTGTAAATCTATTAAAATGTCTCTAAAGAGTTTAGAATTGAGCCTTGACGAGATATTGATGCACCTGAAAAAACTATGTTTTAAAAAAATATTTTATTTAATGATAAAAATTATTCTTTTTTAATTAAGTGCTAATTTTTCAGTTGTCAGATAAAAGTTACCTGTGGAATAATTATGATGCTGTCGCGTCAGAATGTTTGTATAAGACAGTGACAGCAACAATTTTATTCCTCAGGTAACATTTATCTGACTATTGAAAAATCAGCACTAAGTATAGTATTCTATTATAAATTATTGATATGAATCAGTATTAGGACAGAATCTTCAACGGTAGATTTCTGCCTACCTTTAATAGGAAGAAAAAATTAAATCTCATATTTATAGAAAAAAATATAAAATATAAATAAAAATATAAAAGCGATTCACATTTACATACTAAATTTATTTTTGTAAATAGGCCATAAAACAGCACTTTTACACGTCAAAATTATATGTAAAGAAATCTAGATGAAGCCAGCATTTCCTATCTACTACTCCTGGCTACTCTGAGAAGAAATGCCGGAACAATTTTACAGGTGAGTCTCTTTCTTTATTGAACTATAAACTCTTAGTCAAGAAGCTTAGCCTTAATCTCCACGATTGGCAGACGGCATTGAGATCGCGATGTTACTTACAACATTACTATAACGTACCTGTCCATCATTTTTATAGTAAAGCAAATAGTAGTAAAGCAAATAATATACTGGCCGTTTCAAATCAAAATAGTTTTTGTTAGGCTAAGGCTAATTAATTTTGTTTTAAAAATATGGGATTCTTTTTCCAAAAGTAGTCATTTCTTTATTGATTAGTGTCATTTTCATCGCATTTCAAATCAAAAAATTCGTTTAAATTTTTTTATGCAAAACGGCAATATCATAGGTAAAGACTTATTATATTATGTAAAAATAAAAGAAATATCGATTACTTAGTTACAACATTCGTTCTTTCTAAAAATGTGAAGAATACAAGTGAGAAGGGTTTTCGTTAGTAAATTATAATCCAAACTAATATTATAAATGCAAAAGTAACTCTGTGTGTCTGCTTTTTTCTTCACGCCTAAACTACTGAACCTATTTGTGTGAAATTTGGCACAGACATAGTTTAGAACTCGAGAAACGACAAAAATCTGCAGGAAGTCTCTATTCCACGCGAACATAGTCGCGGGCAAAAGCTAGTGTGTTATAATTAAAAAACAATAACCCTTTTAATGACAGTAACTGTCAAACGAAAAATGACGTTTCCTGGATTCTTGAAATTGGCGAAATACTTGACCTGACGCCGTTTGTGTAAAATAATAACGCACAAATTTAGGAAAAGCATGGGTGTCAAAAGGATATTATTAATTTGACTTTTAAAAACAATGAATTATTAAAATATTATCATACTTTCATTCATTGATTTGACGGTATACTTAATTTTAGATTGTTTTCTAATAAATTTTCAAGATATAAGTGTGAAAGTATTATATGTATTTTTGACATAACATTTTAAGTATTAAATTTGATTAGTTGGTAACTATCGTTATAAACAATATATATAAATATAAACAAAAGAATATTTGTCAAATCAATAAGCGGATTTTGAAAAAGCTAATGATAAACATGTCTGTTGTTTTTTCAAAAAAAAACTTTTTTTATACCTTTCTAAGGGCTGACTTTTCAATGTTTAGATAAAAGTTACCTGCGGAATAATTATGATGCTGTCGCGTCAGAATGTTTGTATAAGACAGTGACAGCAACAATTTCATTCCTCAGATAACATTTATCTGACTACTAGCGGCCCGCCCCTGCTTCGCACGGGTCCAACCATTTCTAATCTTCCCCTCTACTTTTCTAATATTTTCTTTGATAAGAACCTTCTCCTGACAATAACAAACACAACAAAAAAAGAATTAACAAAATTGGTCCAGGCGTTGTTGAGTTATGCGCTTACCAACACATTTTGCGTTCCATTTTTATATATAAGAAGATTGAAAAATCAGCCCTTACTAAACGATTGCTAATCCGTGTAAAAAATCACTGTAATACATAAAAACATTATAAATTATAATAGAAATATATGTATGTATGTATGTAAAAATAAAATGTGTAAAGTTCTCATGAAAAAAGGTATGCATATTAGTATGTACCTATGTAATATGTAATTGTACAGTTTTCTTTGTTCGATTATTTAAAAAAAATCTGTTTTTTTATTGCATTAATAGGTATGTTTGATTTGTATTAAAATTTTATATTATATTTTGTTTTATATTATTATAGAAAATTGTTTAGTGACTAATGGCCTTTCTCATGACTTAATTGTCTGTACAAATTATGAATGGAGCTATTGGCTATGTGCAGCGCACAACACGGCAGAAATTGGAAACGAATGCGGATGATCAGCTGTCAATTTTTATTATTATATTCATTTTACAGTAAAACTATTGAATAAATTGCACCTAAATAATGTCAACAATACTATTTTAATCTTTGATTTTATTTATATTTGCAAAGAAAATTATAATGTTTACATTGTTATTGTTTGACAGCTTCCGCGAATTTTGTAAACGCTACGCGTCGCCACCGTCGCGTCGCACACATAGCCAATACTCAACCCCAGTTTCCGAAAGGCCGATCAATGTTAAAATCAATTTAATCTCTTGTCAAGTCATGTGATTGGTTGACTGAATTATCAACAACCAATCAGATGACTTGACAAGAGATTTAACAGGAGACTAATTAATTTTAGCCTTGACAAGCCTTTCAGAACCCGGGTGTCAGTCTAATCTCG